GCGGGACAAGAAAGGGAATAAAATTTTGGATGGAGACGTTAATCATAAACTTGGCACGGGGTTTAAGGGGGCTCGGTTTCAGTGTTGAGCCTAACACACAGTAGGTATTCAACAAGTGATAGTTGTTTCTGTGTATCTCTCTCTCGCTGTTTTCTCTCCTTTCAGTAGAGAACTTGTGCCTTGTAAAGTTTAACTGTGCTGTTTTGGAATTCAAGTTTTTATATGGCAGATTTCCATGAAGAAAAAAATGTAATTATTGATTGAGTTGTGCTGTTAGAATTAGAATTAGGGTCATAACAAATAGGAACACTGTATGATAAACTTGCAAACAGAACAAAGCCAAAAATTGTACTTGCTATCCCCTTGTTCAGTCTGGCCCTCTGTTTCAAATTAATTAGATATTTGGATAACTATGCTAGACTTTGTCACATCCTTATTAAAATTGTTTAAGGATTTTGAAGAACATCTCAGAGGGACTCTGAAACTAATCTGAGTCCGGTACTGGAGATTCCATTAGCAATCACAAAACTGATTAATCTTTTACTCAGTTAGCTTATTGATTATTGCTGCAATTACTGCATGTAATGGATTCTACAAGGGATACCAGAGAAAATATGTTTTATAACTGCTGCTGACGTGTTCAGTTTGAGTGCAAACGTGTTCGGTTTGTACTTGTCATACGTAACCATTTTTGTGTTTTTAAATTCCGTAACACTTCTACTCAGAAAGTGCTGTGCTTAATATTGTTTCACTACTAGGAGGTTCACTTTTAAATTCCTCAACTACTAATCATTACAGTTTACAAATGCCTTCACTAATTCTATTGCTGCAGTTTAATTTTGAGCTTCACAGTAACCCTATGTAATAGAGTTGGTATCTTTACCCTCATTCAGAGGAAACTCAGGTTCAGTGAGGTTAAATGACTTCCTGAAGACTATACAGGTTAATAAGTGGCAGAATCGGGATTGGACTCCATTTCGATCGGTAAATATTTGTCAAACACCTACTATGTGCAGGACTTTGTGTTAGGGGTAATGAAAGCCAGGATAGGATTATAGAGATTAAGCTAAGAAGCTTTTTGGATAACGTCAAATTATGGCTCCATTAATGTTATCATGGTCACTTTGTTACTTTTCTGTCCAAGCTATATTAAGTATATTGGCGTAAAAGATTTAGATTTTGGTTTGGTTTGGTTGGTTGTCTTTTCATTTTGTTTTTATCTAGTGGAAGCCTTGTCTTTGGCATTATTGCTTATTTTATCAGTATTTAGAGCAAAATTGGAAAGATCCCCTTAAAGGGAGAATATATAAAACCCTGAGAGAGAATGAAGATCCAAAAAGAACTTGCTTTGCAGCTTATTAAATGTTCTCATGTTTTCTCATGTGAGTTTCACAGTAATCCTGTGGGTACATACCACCTTCATTTTACAGCTGAGTAAACTGAGGTGAGGTGAGCATTTCTTCACTGAGATCATCAGCTAGAAGTGGCCAGTACTGAGACCCCAGGGTTTGAGCCTGTAACTCCTCTAAGTGCCTTGCTCATCTCACTGGGCAGCATAGGCCTTGTGGCTCATCAGGACTGCTCTGTGCCAGGAGGTACTGCACATGGCCCACGTTTTATTCTTGTTTCTTAGGGAATGCCTTGTGAGCAGTGGCCTGAGCTCCTAGGCCCAGTGCCTCCTTGATGGCCCCCCGACCCTCACCAGGCCCGCTCCTGAGAGGTCGGTTGCCTAGAGTGGGCCCATGCCATGGGTTTAATTACCACCCTTTATAGTTTGTCCTTGATGGTGAATTACTTTGGTGTGTGAAACACAAAATTCTCTGTTAACACAAACACAGATCAAACCCAGTATTTTAGCAGAAGAAAATGTTTCTAGGATTTGGAAGAATTGTACAAAACAAAAAACAAATCCTAGCTACTTGCTTTGGAGAAACTGTCAAGTGGCATACTTAATATCATTACTGTGGCTGTGTTAATTACTGTACAAAGAGATGTTTTTAGATTGCTAAAAAGTTCCTCCAATGGTTATAAATATATAGTTTCCCAGTTGATTTGAAATGAAAGGGAAACCATTTTTATTTATACATTTTGTGAGGTAAATAAATAAAGTTGGAAAACAGGTCAATTTCATGCATGTAAGGTTTTATAGTAGGAAAAAAATGCCTTGCACCTGTTCTGACCCTTTACATTTGAGGTTATTTGTTTTCAAACTTGACCCCAAGCGCCAGTTTCACACAACTCTGTAAATAATTTGTTAGATAAAGCATAAGGATATTTTATTTGTTTTGATTTCTAGGATTGTGGTAAAGTAGTAACTGAAATTACTAACCTATTCTACATAGCAGGTAATTAAAGAAAAGCATTAACTATAGGAGAACACCACCACTGCTGTTGTCTTGTATCAGTATAAGAAGGCAGTAATTTTTTTGACAGCCACTGATTGGAAAGTTGCTTGCAGCCTTCCAGAAGCAAGAGGGTACACGCTGTGGATCAATAACCGGCAAATTTCCCATTAAAAAGAATACCTGAGCAATGTTCCACATAGCCACTGGCATCTTAATTTTCCATGAAACCTCAAATACTTGTGTGCTGAGGACAAGTCATTTTCAGACAATTTTTCCAGACTACTTGTTAACAGTTATTGCTGTCCCAAAAGGTTGACAGCCTACATGATTGATATTTCATTTACTTGTCATCACTGCTTGAGTAATGGCGAGCACTATATTTCTGTGATTTTAAGGAATATAGTTTCCTGAAAGACATTTGCCTTAGTATGTATTCCAGAGAGCATATCACACATATTTATGCTTTATGTGTATAAGATTTTACATCTATAGAAGGAGAGGATCAGTTTCCTATACAGTTTGAATGTCCTCAGAAGGCAGGGTATACTTATATCAGTCCATAGCCATCAAAAATACACTTTCACTTCGTTTTTAGGGCGAAGAGCCTTAGACTTGTTAACTTGTGATTCTAAAGATGATGTAGAATTTTATAACTCCCCTTTATTTATAAGGGAAAAATAAACCTGATCTTGTGATCATTTTAAATATTACATAAAAGCAATAGAAAGATATATGTACATATTTTTTAGAAAGAAACTTTTAAAGAATGTCAGCAAATAATGATTATCAAGGAGGAATTTTCTGAAAATATGATAGTTAAGTAGAAAATGTGCTTATGTTTTTTAATATAGAAACAACAAGTATTAAAGGGGAATTCTGCTCTGTGACAGCCCCTCACAACACAAGATTAGTGGTTTTCATCGTTGATATTTTCCAAGAACATGACTGTTGTTTGTCAAGTGTTTAAAAAAAGTTAGGGCAAGGACTTCCCTGGCCGTCCAGTGGTTAAGACTCCGTGCTTCCAATGCAGGGGGCGCGGGTTCAATCCCTGGTCAGGGAACTAAGATCCCGCATGCCATGTGGTGCAGCCAAAAAAAAAAAAAAAAAAAAAGTTAGGGCACAGAAGCCACATGCAAGTTAGGTGGACATATGCTCACCAATTAGGATATTAAAGAAAATGGGGATAGACCATAATACAGCCTACTGAATGAACTTGTTTATGATGGAGTATGAAAGCTTTTTGAACTTGGAACTTAATTTTTCATGCCCAGATTTTTAAAGTGAAATTTGATCTATACTAAAGTATTTAGAAGACTAAAACGTGAAAGGTATGTTTGCTTGAAACTGGGCTATCTTTTTATCATATTAATCCTGTCATCTTTGGATGGATCATATCTTGTTTCCTTGTTCCACAGTCTCTGTGATTTTGATTTCCATTATCTGTACATTTTATACACAAATATGAATAATGTTTGATTAACTGACTGGCGTATAGGTCCAAGCTAAATGTGAGGTGTCTCCATTTTGCTTTGTAAAATCCAGGGAAAAAGAACAAAAGGCAATTTGAGAAATTTCTACTAAAATGCTTTTTGTGTCATTTTAATTTATTTAAAAATTATTTTTTATAAGATTCTTTTTTTTTTTTTTTTAAACATGGACCGTTGTTTTTTTTTTTCTGCGGTACGCGGGGCTCTCACTGTTGTGGCCTCTTCTGTTGCGGAGCATAGGCTCCGGACGCGCAGGCTCAGCGGCCATGGCTCACGGGCCCAGCCTCTCCGCGGCATGTGGGATCCTCCCGGACCGGGGCACGAACCCGTGTTCCCTGCATCGGCAGGTGGACTCTCAACCACTGCGCCACCTAGTGTGTGTTGTAGTAAATTTTGAAATTAGGTTAATTTGTGTTTCCCTAATTATTAATGCTGTTGAGCATTTTTTCGTGTTCTTGTTGGCTATTTGTATATCTTCTTCAGAGGGTTTTCTCTTGATGTGGCAAGCAGGGGCTACTCTTCTTTGTGGTGTGCGGGCTTCTTATTGTGGGGGCTTCTCTTGTTGCAGATCATGGGCTCTAGGCACGCAGGCTTCAGTGCCATGGCTCACGGGCCCAGCCTCTCCGCGGCATGTGGGATCCTCCC